TCACCTATGAACTATTGTAGAAAGTCATAGGGCAATTCCCAGTCCGGACATATACCCAGGTTGCAGACTTGATCCCCAGTAGGCAGCCAATCCATAATTCTCTTATCATTGATGTTTCTATCTCTCTCTCTCCCTTCCTCTCTCTAAAACTAATAAAAACATTTTTTATTTTTTATTTTTTTTAATATATTTTTTTATTGATTTTTTTTACAGAGAGGAAGGGAGAGATAGAGAGCTAGAAACGTCGATGAGAAAGAAACATTGACCAGCTGCCTCTTGCATACCCCCCACCAGGGATGTGCCCGCAACCAATGTACATGCCCTTGACCAGAATCAAACCTGGGACCTTTCAGTCCACAGACCGACGCTCTACCACTGAGCCAAACCAGTTTCGGCTAATAAAAACATTTTTTAAATCCAACATCCGTTTATGATAAAAATTCTCAGCAAAGCAGAAATAATGGGGACTTACCTCAACATGATAAAGAGCATATATGACAAACCCATAGCTAACATGATACTCAACTGGAAAAAGTTAGAAGCATTTTCCTTATGATCCGTGTACCTGTCCAACTTCCCAGCACCACTTATTGAAAAGACTGTCCTTACTCCATTATATGCTCTTGCTTCCTTTGTCAAATATTGAGTTGAATGGCTTGTGTCAATTTCTGGGTTCTCTGTTTTTGTTCCATTGGTCTATCTGCCTGTTCTTGTGCCAGTACCAGGCTGTTTTGAGTACAGTAGTTTTATAGTATAACTTGGTATCTGGTATTGTGATTCCTCCAACTTTGTTCTTCTTTCTCAAGATTGCTGTGGCTCTCCAGGGTCTTTTTTGTTTCCATATAAATTTTTGGAGTGTTTGTTCTAGATCTTTGAAATATGCCGTTGGTATTTTATTAGGGATTGTATTGAATCTATAATGAGTCGTCAGCTGTTAAAGTGTATATACGTTTTTTGGGAGACACCCTGGGTATAGACACTTTGATTAAATATAAAAGCAGTGTTTGTACTTCAACTGCATTTTTAAACTTCTAGTAGCATTTCAGGATGAATTTCCTTTGTTCGAAGCTTAGTCTGGCTGAAAAGAAAGAAACATCAATTGAGCTACCAGCTGTTAAAATGTGTATACATGTTTCGGGGACACCCTGTAGGTGAGAGGATTAGAATACAGGATCAAAAATCCAGAAATAGATCTTAACTATGAAGGAATTTCACACATGACAGGAACTTCTCATTCACCTAATCCATCTAATGTATCTGTTCAGTACAGTAACCACGAGCCACATGTGGCCACTGAGCATCTAAACTGAGATGTGATGTAAGTAAAATATACATCAAATTTTAAAGACTTAATATTAAAAAAAGAACAAAATATCTCATTAACTATTGTTTAAAATGAATTACGTGTAAAACTATATTTTTTAATATACTTTATTGATTTTTTACAGAGAGGTAGAGAGAGGGATAGAGAGTTAGAAACATTGATGAGAGAGAATCATCGATCAGCTGCCTCTTACACACCCTCTACTGGGGATATGCCCACAACCAAGGTACATGCCCTTGACCGGAATCGAACCCGGGACCTTTCAGTCTGCAGGCCGACGCTCTATCCACTGAGCCAAACCGGTTTTGGCTGTAAAACTATTTTTTTACAGAATGGATTAAGTTGGTGAAATTAAATTTCACCTATTCTTTTTAATTTTTTAAAATGCAGCAACAGCCAGGACCGGTTTGGCTCAATGGATAGAGCGTCGGCTTGGGGAGCCGGGTTCGATTCCAGTCAGGGGCGTGTACCTTGGTTGTGGGCATATCCCCAGTAGGGGGTGTGCAAGAGGCAGCTGATCGATGACTCTCTCATCGATGTTTCTAACTCTCTATCTCTCTCCCTTCCTCTCTGTATAAAAATCAAAAATATATATTTTAAAAAAAAGAAAAAAGAAAAAGAAAATCATTGTTTTAAAAAAATAAAAATAAAAAAATAAAATATATTAAAAATAAATAAATAAAATAAAATGCAGCGACAAATAAAAAACTTGAGTGTTTTACATTATATTTCTAATGAACAGAACTGCTCTAAGGAAAAATAAAGATCTTCCCTTTACATCATAATTTAAAAAAATAAAGATAGAGTTAAAATAAAAAATACCATATGAGCCGAAACCGGTTTTGCTCAGTGGATAGAGCATTGGCCTGCGGACTGAAGGGTCCTGGGTTTGATTCCAGTCAAGGGCATGTACCTTGGTTGCAGGCACATCCCCAGTAGGGAGTGTGCAAGAGGCAGCTGATTGATGACTCTCTCTCATTGATGTTTCTAACTATCTCTCTCCCTTCCTCTCTGGGAAGAAAAAAAAAAATACCATATGAGATCCTAGGAAAGTAAATTAGAATCAGGATGGACTTCTTAATGAGGACAACTTGTCATACATACACGTGTATGCAGACATAGATAAAAAAGACAAACAACCCAATAGGAAAAGCAGGCGAAGAGCAGGATTGGAAATGCCCAGAAAAGCAAATGCTACTGACAAACATTTAACAAAAAAACACTCTAAATTACTGAAGAGAAAATGCAGTTTCAGTGACTAAGACATCTCTTTACTGGTTGGGGGTGGCCAACGAAGATGACACCTCTGTCAGGGTGTGGGAGAGGGACAGCTCATGCTCTGCTGCCAGGGCCATGTGAAGAACAGGCTTCTGAAAAACCAACACTGCAGTACGCATTACATCCTCAACAGGGAGCCATCCTCCGAGTGATATTCCACTATACATACTGACATATGTTCAGAGACTATTGTAACACTGTTTATGCAGCAGCAAAAATTTAAAAAGGAAACCAAGAAACATTCAATAAATTAATAAATGCCATCTACTGACAAAAGGCTGAAAAATGTATGGTACCTGCAGCATCAGACCTTCAGCAATCATTAAAAATATTAAATGAGCCGAAACCGGTTTGGCTCAGTGATAGAGCGTTGGTCTGTGGACTGAAGGTCCCCCCGGGTTCGATTCCAATCAAGGGCATGTATGCTGGTTGCGGGCACATCCCCAGTAAGGGGTGTGCAAGAGGCAGCTGGTCGGTGTTTCTCTCTCATCGACGTTTCTAGCTCTCTATCTCTCTCCCTTCCTCTGTGTAAAAAATCAATAAAAAATATATTTCTTAAATATATTAAATGAGAAATATCAGCAAAAATGTTTACACTTGAAATATCAACACTGGCTCCGTGGTAGGGATAGACACCTTATAACATGCAGTGTGGGCATCCATAGGTACAACCTTATGGGAAGACTCTATTAGACGTTTCATGTCCTAGCCTTTTGACCCAGCAACCCAACTTCCAGAAACCTTATTGCTTTATGGCATGACAATCTAAACATTCCTGTGCAAACATGCCAGATCATTACGTTGCACACCTTAAGCAATACAACGTACCCACCATACATGACCTCAGCAGTTTTCTACCTGCGCTGCTAATTTGGCTATTTCTTCTATACGACTCATTAATTTTAAGCCATCTTCTAGTCTCCCTTTCTGATATAAAAACTATATTTAAAATGTTTACAAATTTTCATCCCATTAAAAAAATCATCTCATTGTAATTCACTTTTTGCATCCCTTGGTATAAATCAGCATTACACATCATCACTCTCCCTGCAAAGCCAGGCTACCTTAGAATTGGGGCATTTTGTGAACTAGAACAAATACTGCTGCTACAATTTCTTTTCTTTTTTTAATATATTTTATTGATTTTTTACAGAGAGGAAGAGAGACAGATAGCTAGAAACATCGATGAGAGAGAAACATCGACCAGCTGCCTCTGGCACATTCCCTACTGGGGATGTGCCCACAACCAACGTACACGCCCTTGACCGGAATCGAACTTGAGACCTTTCAGTCCGCAGACCAACGTTCTACCGCTGAGCCAAACCGGTTTTGGCCTGCTGCTACAATTTCTAATGGTCCAACAGCAATGAGGCAGGTAGGGAGTTAATAAATGTAATTTTCTCAAGTTTAATCCTCTTCAATCATTGGCTATCGAAAAGTGAGCAAAAAGCAAAAGAACAGTGAAGAAAAAACAGACCTGTAGTTCGCACGTGTGATCACAAATCTTTATAACTCACACGTTGAATAGTTTCTGGCTCCCAGGACGTGCAGCTAAACACCGAGCATTGTCAAGAGCATCACAACTCACCCGGGACACGTGGGCCTCTGGCCACCGCCCTCGGCGGGCACACCAACAGGTCCCCTCCCTCTGCCGGATGCCGCAGCCCCGGGTCGGGGAGAGAGGCGCGACCCTTCCGCCGGGCCCAGCTCCAGCCCTCCCGCCATCCCTCCGGCCCGGGCCTGCGAAGCTTCCAGCGGCCAAGGCGCTGCGCGGTCCACACCAGACCCTCTCCCCGCGGGCAGAGGGCGGCCTCGGCGCGGTGCGCAGGGCGGCGCAGCGGCGCCGGGCGGAGCGCAGGGCGGCGGGAGCCGCTCTCGGCCCCGCTCCAGCGGGGACGGAGGTCACGGCGAGCGCACGAACCCCGCGGCTGGGAGCCGGGCTCCGAAGGCAAAGGGCGCGCCCTGACCCGGGCGGAAGTGACGTGCGCGGAGCCTGCAGGCCCGCCCCATAAATGGCGGCCGCAGCGAGGCGCCTTCCCCCGGACTGGCCGGCAGGGGTAGCTCCGAGTCCGACCCGCCCGGCTCCGGCAGCTCCCTGCGCCACCAGAACCAACCGACCGAACCCGGCCCGAGCCGAGCCGGAGCCCGGCCCCGCCGGGCGGTCCGCTCCCAGCGCGCCCGGCGGCGCCCGGCGGGCTGGCTTCAGCGCTCAGCCACGCGCATGCGCGGCCCTCGGTGCCGCGGGTTCCTCGGGCCGCCGGGCGCCCACGTTCCGGCCGCCTGCCCCGCGGTCCCTTCTCGCCCTAGCGTCCGGCCAGCGTCCCTCACCTCCGGCCTCCCGCCCTCGGCGGCCCCGCCGCCACGGGCTCCCGGCCGCCAGCCTCCAGGAGCCACTTCCGCTTCCGGCGAGTATTGTGTGTCGCGCCGCGGGCGGGGCGGGGGGAGGAGGAAGGAGGAGGCTGCGCTCCGGCGGCTCCGCGCCCGCACTGCCGGATCCGTGGCCCGGAAGGTAGGTGCCGCCCCGCCGCCGGGCCCGCCCCGCCGGCCGGGCCCGCACGCCGCGTCCCAGCGCCCGCGTCACCGGCCGCACCTGCCCGCCGCCGCCTCCGCCCGCCTCGGGCCGGGGACGTTGGCCGCCCCGGCGACGTCAGCGCGTCCGGCGTTGCTTGGCTACCCCGCCTGCCCCCTTCCCGCCGCCGCTGCCTCCCGGTGAAGCTGACGTCGTCCCGGCGGTTCCGGCTGCGGGCACCCCACCTGCACGTCCACTCCTCAGCTGGACACGCACCCCTCCCTCCCTCTCAGCCCCTGCGCCTGACCTGACGGGAGGAGACGGAGACCGGGTGGGACCGAGTTGTGAACCACGCTCAGGAGAGGGTCGCCCGGTGGGGCCCGGACAGTGTAGAAGCAAAATGAGGACGAGCCTGGAGTTGGCGCTTCTGCACACACGAGAAATAGAGAGAGACCTGCAGCCCAGAGCGCCGCGGCCCCAAGTCTCCTTCCCTAACCTCCTCCCATTGTTTCCCCTCACGTTGCCAGTCTAGTTCCCTAACTGCAAACAGTTCAGCTCCCCCAGGAGGGGAGACCTCTTAATTCCTGGAAGACTTGGGGAAAGGACAGGCTCACCACCATTGGGGTCCCCTAGGTGGGGAAGCCTCATGGACTGAACAGTCTCTCCTGGTTGAGGGAAGAATTTGAGATTCAAATAAGTTACTCCAAATTAAAGACTAAATTTGTGCCATCAATATACACAGGAATAATAGTCATTATTAACCCAACTCATTATAGGGTCACTTCTCTCTCAACACAGACCTACTAAATTTCTTTCCCTCTGTCCGGTCCCCTGTAGGGGAGGGAGGTGGACAGGAGGGGTCATGCAGATAGAGAAATCAAACATTTTTGGGGTAAAAGTGGTGTTTTACCAGCAGAGGACTAGCTTTCTGCCTTATATATCTCTTTAAGGCTTCACTTGAGGGAGGTTTTGATTGCCTCTTTATTTTCTTCCCCAACCATCCAATACCCATTAGCTAGAAGCACAGTGTGTCCAAGGAATTTGTTATTGATAGATGTTTCATAAGACTCCAGTCACTGCTGAGTGAAAGAGACTTCAGCTCTCTTTTCAAGAAGTTGGAGTTATTGGCCTGGGTCAATAATACACTCTTTAGTATAGTTGCCACTTTTCAGTAGTTCTAAATGTCCAAATGCAGGAATAGAAATGGGATTTGTATAAATCGTTTCACTCCAAGAGGAGGGCACGCGTCCAAACTGCGGCTCTCGAGCTACACGCGGCTCTTTGGCCCCTTGAGTGTGGCTCATCCACAAAACACCACGGCCTGGGCAAGTCTATTTTGAAGAAGTGGTATTAGAAGAAGTTTAAGTTTAAAAAATTTAGCTCTCAAAAGAAATTTCAATCGTACTGTTGATATTTGACTCTGTTGACTAATGAGTTTGCTGACCACTGCTCTAGATTAATTGATAGAAGGAAGAATAATATCAGACTTTCCTGAAAAGAAGAGGTTGTTACCCTTGCCTATCTAATTCTGCTTATTATTATTTAAAAGAGTGAGAGAACAGTGTCAGAGAATCTGGCTTAGGCTCCAGGGGACTATTGCAAAAAAAAATTCTATAACGTGCCCTGGCTGGTTTGGCTCAATGGATAGTGTCTGCCTGCAGACTGAAAGATCCCAGGTTCGATTCTGGTCAGGGCACATGCCCAGGTTGTGGGCTCGATTTCCAGTGGGGAGCATGCAGGAGGCAGCCAATTGGTGATTCTCTCATCATTGATGTTTCTATCTCTCTCCTTTCCTCTCTGAAATCAATAAAAATCCATAAATTTAAGAAATCTTAATACTTTGATTTTTATAGCACTGCACTTTCTCAAACTCCTTTTTCATCTATTAGAAAAATGTCAAACTAGGCATAGAACTGGTGGGGAACATTGGCCCATGGCCATATAAAACCTGTAAAATCATTTGGTCTGGCCCTGTTAGGGCATTAGATGTGAGTTAATTAAATGTTAGACAAATATACCAGGCTAATTTTTTTTTCTTTTCTTTTTTTGTTTTCTTTTTTTAAAAACAGGCTAGTTTTTAAGTTGATAATTTTGTATGGCCCACAACGCTACACTAATAAAAGAAAAGATGCAAATTGACCCTACCTTCGTGATACCCACCAGCCAATCAGGAGTGAGTATGCAAGTTAACCTAACAAAGATGGTGGGTTAATTTGCATACATAGGCGCCAAGTGGCTGGAGGCGGTATGCTTGCATCATTGCCATGGCGACAACACAGGCATTCCAAACCGCCCCAGTCTCTCCAGGCCTCTGGGCAGCGTGGAAAGGCAGAAAAGCGACTCTGGGCAGAATGAAAGCAAAAAGGTGGCTCTGAGCCGGAGCAAAGGCAGTGCCGCCGGCAGCCAGGGAAAGGAAGGCCCATTCTTGCATGAATCTTCATGCATCGGGCCTCTAGTGATGTTATAAATATCCAAATGGCCCTTAGCAGAAAAAAGGTTCCCCAACCCTGGTCTAGAAAATTGGTTTTAGGACACAAGTGGGATGAGCCTGGATCAGGAGTATGTTGAGCTACAGTTAAAGGAACCCTCTGTTTCTAATAAGGGAAAGCAGAGCTAAAAGACAGAAGAGATGGGGGAGAGGGGTATCAGTTTGCTGCATAGGAAAAAAAAATTTGATTGATGGCTGGGAGTCACAAGTTTTGGAACTAGAGTAACAAAAGAGAGGTTGAATCTAACAGAAGATGTAAAATACCAATGTGGGACTAACTCTAGAATTGGGGTTTTACAAGTGGGTAAATGTCGGAGCAGGGATGTAGAAAAAGAAAGATTTAAACCTCCAACTAACATTTTTCTCTGCCTCCTTCCTATCCCGAAGTTAAATAATGGCAGAGACGAGTCTGTTAGAGGCTGGGGCCTCTGCAGCGTCCACAGCCGCGGCTCTGGAGAACTTACAGGTGGAGGCCAGTTGCTCTGTGTGCCTGGAGTACCTGAAGGAGCCTGTCATCATTGAGTGTGGGCACAACTTCTGCAAAGCTTGCATCACCCGCTGGTGGGAGGACCTAGAGAGGGACTTTCCTTGTCCTGTCTGTCGAAAGACCTCCCGGTACCGCAGTCTCCGGCCTAATCGTCAACTAGGCAGTATGGTGGAAATTGCCAAGCAGCTCCAAACTGTCAAGCGGAAGATCCGGGATGAGAGCCTCTGCCCCCAGCATCATGAGGCACTCAGCCTCTTCTGCTATGAGGACCAGGAGGCTGTGTGTTTGATATGTGCAATTTCCCACACCCATCGGGCCCACAACGTCGCACCACTGGACGACGCCACACAGGAGTACAAGGTGGGGAACCAGGCACATGAAGTCAGCATGGGGCAAAGGGAGGCACACTGTGGAGGCAGGCTCTCTGGGTAGAGGATCAAAAGCTCCAGAGGGCGAGACTGTATCTGGGTCTCATTCTATAGTTCCCTCTAAGGTGCATACACAGGGGACTCCCACACAGTACATCTACCAGCCATCCTCAAGCACGAAGAACAGTGGCAATGAGTACCCCAAAATTTCTCTCTGACCTTTCTAACACATTTGAGCATGAGAGGAAGAGAGACATTTATATATATAAAAGCCTAAGCAACCATTTGATCAGTAGCAATGACGCACACTGACCACCAGGGGGCAGACACTCAACACACAGGCATAGAAACATGGAACAGACTGATGAATCTCAGAGGGGAGGAGGAAGGGCGGGAAGAGATTAACCAAAGATCTTATATGCATGCTAGAGGCCCAGTGCACGGATTTGTGCACCAGTGGGGTCCCTTGACCTGGCCTGTGGGGGTTGGGCTGAAACTGGTTCTCCGACATCCCCCGAGGGGTCCCGGGTTGTGAGAGGGTGCTGGCCAGGCCGAGGGACCCCATCAGTGCCCCGGGTCTCTAGTATTTTTCATAATGAATGAGAGCACATACAGAAAATCCACGTTGGAAAGAACTGAAAAGTTGTCTAGTTTCCTCATTCTGTTCCCTGCTCAGAACATCCCTTCCCGTTGGCACTGGGAAGACTGTCATTCCACTTTAGACTGAGCCAGTCTGTTATTTGCATCTTCCCCAGATAATGGATAACATTACATCTGATTTAAATTATTGCTGGGTCAAAGTAAGTGTTTGAGAAACAGAAATTAGAGGTGCTAATGTCTTAGTACTTTATCAAGTACTTAATTTGTGTTTTTTTAAATACATTTTTATTGATTTCAAAGAGGAAGGAAGAGGGAGAGAAAGATAGAAACATCAATGATGAGAGAGAATTGTTGATCAGCTGCCTCCTGCATGCCCCCCACTGGGGATCAAGCCCACCACCTGGGCATGTGCCCTTGACTGGAATCGAACCTGGGACCCTTCAATCTGCAGGGTGACGCTCTGACTACCAAGCCAAACCGGCCAGGACTTAGTTATGTTAATAAAATCTTTAGAAATAAGATTTAAAGCTGAAATGGGTTTGGCTCAGTGGATAGAGCGTCGGCCTGTGGACTGAAAGGTCCTGGGTTCGATTCTGGTCAAGGGCATGTACTTTGGTTGCGGGAACATCCCCAGTTGGGGTGTGCAAGAAGCAGCTGGTCGATGTTTCTAACTCTCTATCTCTCTCTCTTCCTCTCTGTAAAAAATCAATAAAATACATTTGTTTTAAAAAAAAAAAAAAGAAAAGAAAAAGAATAAAGCTTTCTGAATTAAAAAGAAAAGAAAAGAAAGAAAGATTTAAGGTTGTTTATAAGTAAGATTTCATTGTATTTGCAGATGATTAGAGTTGAAGAGGAATGCAAGTTTAAAGATGGACATCAGAGTCCAGAGGTCACTTTGACAGTAATAGGTAGTTACTTGAGTTAGAAGGTGGATGGAGTTGGTGACCGCTGGACTACTGTGGTTCAGTGAGAGGATATTTACCCACTTGTAAAACCCTAATTCTAGAGTTAGCTCCGCATTGATATTTTACATATTTTCTTCTGTTAGATATGGGGGAGAGATGGTGATAGAGATAGGCTGGTGGCAGGAGGAGAGACCTGTAAGAAGTTAACATCGCAAGTGATAGGCAAGGGAGGAAGTTGGCTTAAGAGCTGGTGAGAGGCGTAGGATGCAAACAAACGGTTTAAAACAAATAGGTTAACCTCTGAATGTAGGCTATGCCAGCCAACCCACCTCTCCCACTTCCTGCCCTCAGGAAAAACTGCAGAAGTGCCTGGCACCTCTGGAGCAGAAGCTGCAGGAGATCACCTGCTGTAAGTCCTCGGAAGAGCAGAAGCCTTCAGAGCTCAAGGTAAGGCAGGCAGGGAACCAAGCATTACCACATTATCTCACCCACCAGTTCTGATTCATTAGAAAAATGCTGTACTCTCAGAAATGATGGTATCTTCTTAAGCTTGATGGTCAGTAGACATTGTACTGACGTTGCTTGTCATGCGCTAAGTACTGAGGAAGAGGCTAGAAGGGTAAAGGACAGGCAGGGTGCCTTACACCTGGTGAGTGCAGGGGCTTCGTGCCTGCTGGGCTCCTGTGCAGCAGGAGGAGGCTGTTCTGCTGAGTGTGAGAGGTGGGACTTCCTGAGAAGCCCCCGCCCCAGGCCCTCACCACTATCTGTGCCCCTGGGTTATGCATATGTGCATACAAGGTCTTTGATTGATTATCTTCCACCCAATCACCCTCCCTTGCCTTCCCTCTGAGATGACCCAATGACTTTAAAACTAATGTGTTAGTTAGGGTAGCAAAGTCCTGGGGTGGAGTGGGAATCGGATGGAGGAAAAAAGAGGGACATCTGTAATAATCTGAACAATAAAGATTAAAAAAATAATAACTTGTAATTAACCATGCTGAAATGATAATTATTCATAAAATAATCTATCTACATAATTTTAAAAGTAAACTGTCATGTCGAAATATAGTATAATACAACAAAAGAAAAATAATGTGTAATGAAGTCTGCTGTGTGATATTTATTTTTTAATCTTTATTGCTCAGATTATTACAATTGTTTCTCCTTCCCCGCCCCCCCAATAGCTCCTTTCCACCCTATTCCCGCCCCACCCTATTCCCGCCCATTGTCCTTATCCATAGGTGTACTATTTTAATCCAGTCTCTTCCTGCACCCTCCACACCCCTTTCCCCTGATAATTATCAATCCACTTCCTTTCTTTCCCCCTGATTCTATTATATTCATCAGTTTATTCTATTCCTCAGATTTTTAATTCACTTGATTTTTAGATTCACTTGTTGATATATATGTATTTGTTGATCATAACTTTTATCTTTTTCCTTTTTTTCCCTCTTCTTAAAGAATACCTTTCAGCATTTCATATAATACTGGTTTGGTGGTGATGAACTCCTTTAGCTTTTTCTTTTTCTTTTCTTTTTTTTTTTTAAATATATTTTATTGATTTTTTTACAGAGAGGAAGAGAGAGTGATAGAGAGTTAGAAACATCAATGAGAGAGAATCATTGATCAGCTGCCTCTTGCACACCCCCTACTGGAGATGTGCCTGCAACCAAGGTACATGCCCTTGACCAGAATCGAACCCGGGACCTTTCAGTCTGCAGGCCAATACTCTATCCACTGAGCCAAACCGTTTTCCGGCCCCTTTAGCTTTTTCTTATCTGTGAAGCTCTTTGGCCTTCAATTCTTTTTTTTTCTTTTCTTTTTTTTAATATATACCGTATTTTTCGGACCATAAGACGCTCCGGACCATAAGACGCACCAGTTTTTAGAGAAGGGAAATGAAGAAAAAAAGATTCTGAAACAAATAGTGTCCTAAAATATTTTATGTGCATTAAAACCCAACATCACAGTCATAAACACATGTAATCAACCCTGTAAAGTAAACAGCAGCATTTAGAACCATTTTAGAGCCGGGCAAGCACACAGAGACCACACAGAGCCGGGCAAGTAAAAAAACTTTTTTTTTAAGTATATGTGTAGGCTATATTTGGACCATAAGACGCAGGGACTTTTTCCCCCCACTTCTGGGGGGAAAAAAGTGCGTCTTATGGTCCGAAAAATACGGTATATATATTTTATTGATTTTGTACAGAGAGGAAGGGAGAGAGATAGTTAGAAACATTGATGAGAGAAAGTCATCGATCAGCTGCCTCTTGCACACCCCCTACTGGTGATATGCCCGCAACCAAGGTACATGCCCTTGACCAGAATCGAACCCGGGACCCTTCAGTCCCCAAGCCGACGCTCTATCCATTGAGCCAAACCGGACTCCTGGCCTTCAATTCTGAATGATAACTTTGCTGGATACAGTAATCTTGGTTGTAGGTTCTCACTGTTCATCACTTTGAATATTTCTTGCCACACCCTTCTGGCTTGCATAGTTTCTGTTGAGAAATCAGCTGATAGTCTATGGGTGCTCCCTTATAGGTAACCAACTACTTTTCTTTTTCTGCTTTTGATATTCTCTCTTTGTCTTTTGCTCTTGGCATTTTAATTATGATGTGTCTTGGTGTGTTACTCTTTGGATTCCTCTTGTTTGGGGTTCTGTGCGCTTCCTGTACTTGTAAGTCTATTTCTTTCACCAGGTAGGGAAAATTTTCTGACATTACTTCTTCAAATAGGTTTTCAGTATCTTGCACTCTTTCTTCTTCTGGCACCCCATAATTCGGATGTTGGTTCACTTGAAGTTGTCCCAGAGGGCTCCTTACACTATCTTCAGCTTTCTGGATTCTCTTTTCTTCTTGCTTCTCCAGAGCAGTGTCCTTTGGCTCTTTGTATTCCAAATCTTTGATTTGATTCTTGTGTTCCTCCAGTCTGCTGTTGGATCTCTGTATAATATTTTTTTATTTTAGTCAGTGTATGTTTAGTTTCTAGTTGGGTCTCATTATCAGCCTTTTCTAGGAAATTCTTGAAAAAGTTTATAACCGTGGTTTTGAACTCTATATCCAGTCTTTTGTTCTCCTCCATCTCTTTCACTTGAGATCTGTTTCCTTGTCTGGGCATTTTTTATGTAGGATTGCTTTGTGTGTTTGGTGTCCTATATGGCCCAGTGGGTCAGCCTCCCCAGTTACCTGAGGTAGACTCTCTTGGTGCTCCCCTTTGTGGATTGAGTATACAGTCTTGTTGTAGTTAAGTCTTTATTGTTGTTGGTATCCCTGGGAGGAATTGACCTCCAGGCCCATTGGATGTATCAGCTGTGTCTACTCTGGGATACCTTCTGTATTGGAGACAGTCTTATAGGATCAGACTTGCAAAATTGCAAAAGCCTCTGTGCTTAGCTTGGATGGGACGGAGTCTCAGGGCTGAGCTGACAGTCTTGGCTTCTTGTCAGCCCTGCCCTTGTGTGTGAGCCTCAGACCTCTGCCTTCCCCGGCTCCCCTGGGTTTCCGCCTGACCGTCCAGATTCCCCTGCAAGAGCGTGGGTGCCCCAGGGGCTCGCCCGGAATTGGGTTGGGTCTCTGTAGTCTGGAGCTTCAGACTCCTTCCGCTATGGAGAGGCTGCGGCAACCTCCACGGTCAGACCTCTGCTCGCACTCACTCGCGCACGACTGTAGACCCTGCCCGCTGCGGCTCCCGGCTCCCCCAGTCTCCCAGTCTCTGAGTCTCTGGGTGCCTTTCTCTACTGTCCAGACTCCACCCGTATGAGCCTGGGTCCCCGGGGTTTTGGCTGGGGCTGGCATTCAGTGCAGTCGGAAAGGGTTCAGTGCAATCGGGGACTTCCTTTCCCCTCCCGCCAGCCAGGCATTCGGCCGCCCTTTTTCTCTGCACACAAGCGTCTCCCTATCTCAGCACTTTGTGGCTCCCAATCCAATCCATGAGCCTCTCTCCTTTCTAGTTGTAGATTTCCCACTCCGCCAGCTTTCCTGTGGTTTTGGATGATGTCCGTTCTGTCTTTTAGTTGTTGTTTTGAAATTGTTGTGCAAGGCAGTAGCTTAGGTGCTTAATGGTTCTGCTGTGTGATATTTAAACACGAGTGCCCTGAAAGACACGGCAGTATGGTTTTATCCCTGCACCTACATGTGCCATCATCAACCACGCACCTAATTGTGCCATCATCAACCACGCCGTAAATGCAGGCTCAGACCGAGGCAGTTGAGAGTCATGTTGACTTACATACCACAAGCAGCTTAGCTCTTAGTGACATGATATCTCAGAATGATATTTCCAAATATCATTTCACTCCCTCTCTAAGAACCACTGCACTGCAAATGCAGAGTAAAAAAAGAGAAGGGACTGTAGGGCTATGTGAGGGAGAACTATTTTGCTATCTGTTTATCACAGTATGACTTCTACATTCCACTTGTTGCAGTGGCAGTACAGAGGTGGGCTGTGCTTGCTGACAACCCTCAGAAGGGCTGTGGCTAGTGACTGTCCCCAATTAGCAAGTTTCAGGAATGGGAAAGCTTCAATCTTTGTGCTGGCTAAGCGAAAGCATGTTTCACATTTTAAGCAACTCATTTACTAAGAAACTTGGGAACCTGCTCCTGGGATGGCAGCTAGCAAGTCTCAGAAATGACTTGAAACTATTTCAGGAACAGCTCTGAAATCTCTGTATTTGTTGCAGCCCATTACTAGAACCTTACTGATTCTTTTCCACTTAGTTCTCTCTGATCATGTTTTCATCAGGTAGCTATCTTCTAACATACCAATGATGACAGTCATATCACTTAACTGGCCAGTATTTGTATTTTCCTTTTCTTTGTTTTTGTTTTTAATGTTTTTTTTTATTTTGGAGAGGAAGGATCGGGGGAGAGAGAGAGAAACATAAATGATGAGAAAAAATAATTGATTGGCTGGCTGCCTCCTGCGCGCCCTACTGGGGGCCCTTGACCAGAATGGAACCAGGAGCCTTCAGTCTGCAGGTCAACTCACTCTATCTGCTGAGCCACACTGGCTGGTGCTGTATTTTCCTTCTCTTAACAAATTACATTACCTAGAGCTTTATCATCAGATATGGCTTATGTCTGAAATAGGTTGTCATTATATTATTGAGTTCTTATGTCTTGAATTATTTTTCCTAAAACATAAAAGCATGTTTTTTTAGAAGTTAATATAATTTAAGAAAATTAAAACTTATAAACATTGATTTTTATCTTCCCAATGGTCTTCACTCCCAAGTCACCAGTGGGATAGAGCCATTCTTTATAGAAGGAAATGACAGTGGAGAGAAACATGAGTGTCCCGTTAAACTGTTTTTAATGACACTGGAATTTATGCTCGTGGCAGGTAGGGAGAGGGACACTGTGCCCCTGTAAGGAAGCAATACCGTCCCTCTTTCCTCAGAGGCTGGTGGAGAGTCGCCGACACCAGGTCCTGAAGGAGTTTGAAGAGCTTCACAGGCGGCTGGATGAGGAGCAGCAACTGCTGCTGTCCCGACTGGAGGAGGAGGAACAGGACATTCTGCAGCGCCTCCGAGAAAATGCTGCTCGCCTCGGAGACAGGCGCCGCGAGCTGGCCCACCTGGCTGCCGAGGTGGAGGGCAAGTGCTTGCAGTCGGGCTTCGAGATGCTTAAGGTTCGCCCTTTGCCCCTGCGTGGCCCCTCGGGTCGGGCACAGGCTAGCTTTGCACAGGCGGTCCTGTCAGCCGGAAAGCTCGCTTCTCTGCTCTGCTCCTTTAAACCCAGTCCTTTCTTCTAGGCACATGCAGAGGGTCTGCCCCCAGAAAGCTCCTCCCACTGCTCCCGTTTCCTTCTGAGCATTTCTGTGTTCTTACATCTTGTCAACAATTATGTGGTTGATTTGTACCAAAGGAAAATCCATTCTTTTGAAAGGAGGGAAATCTAATCTGAATTCGTGAAAAAGCAAAAAAACTACGCATTAAAAAGTGTGTAAATGCAGTCACCATTACTTTTAAGTCCTGGCATTTGATGGACCTAGTGCTGAAAGAGAAGAGGAACAGCCCAGCCAGTGTAGCTCAGTTGAGCATCAGGAACCGATTCCCGGTCAGGGCACATGCCAGGTTATGGGCTCAGTCCCCAGGAGGAGGCATGCAGGAGGCAGCTGATTGATGTTCTCTCTCAACATTGATGTTTCTCTCTCTCTCTTTCCCTTCCTCTAAAATCAATAAAAACATACATTTTTAAAAAACAATAGAAACCTAGTTGAAAGACACTTAAAAGTTATGTATTAAAAAATACATTGTTTTTGATATGTAAACACCTCTAAGATGTTTGAAATCATTTGTTGTCTTAAGGAGACGCGTGGTGTTAGCAAGGCTGTAGGAAACATGTTTCTCACCTTAGAGATCAGACCAGCAGCATTGGAATCAGCGAGGCACCGTTGCACAGTGATCTGCATGCTGATGTACTCCTTGGTGTTTATTCTCATGTCTTTTCATGTATGTGTGTTCTGCCTTCCACATTAAACTGGGAAATCCTGGGGGCAGAGATTTGTCTTCTTTGTCTTCTGGACCCCAAGTATTCGCAAATCAGGAACACGGTTGTTAGTGTTTATTAACCAACACCAAACAGGGGATGCCAGCCCATAGTGGGAAGTAGGACCTGTTCCTCTACCACAGACTGGAGCTCTCTGTACTAATCCTCAAGGAGGCAGGTGTTGTGGTCGGTACTTGGGGGACAGAGCGAAGAGCAGACACAATCCCTGCGCCCTGCATTGCGCTCCCAGTGTCCCTGAGGAACAAAGACAAACGTACAGGAGCCATTTGGAAGGAACATAAGTTGCCGAGCTTCGTGGTGACCAGAAGTTGAAAGTGAGGATGAAGTTGGGCGAGATGTGCTCAGACCCCTCTGGATCTCTCCTGCATGGCAGCCTCTGTCTGCCCTGTTCCTGTTTTAGAGATCTGGAGGTTGGGGAGGAGGGGGGCCCTTTTGCCTGTAGGACCCTGACTACCAGGACCAATACTGCTTTCTTTTCTCCTTCCCTCTAGGATGTCAAAAGTACCCTGGAAAAGTAAGTGATTCCTGCAGCTCTTTCAGTGAATTAGATCTTGGCGTAGAGCCTGGCGGCACAGTAAGGAGTGGGAGGGTAAGATGGAAAAGCCGTGCAGCTTCTGGGAGGCCGTGGGAAAGGGCTATACATCCGTGATGCCAGTCAGAGAGCAAATCATCGGGAATAGTAGCCCTTTGAGCATCAGGACTTCCTGGTTAAGGAAGATACCAAGGTCATGTAGAACCAGATTCTGCCTGTGCCTGTATGTGGAATTGTGCCCAAACAAGATGGAAGAAGGATAGGGGTGGTGGTGGTGGTGGGGGGATAATTACCCATTTGCAAGAAATATAACAAATAGGGAGGGAGGATATGTATTGGGGGGGGGCAATGGAAAAATATGTACACAGATAAGAATTTAATTTAAAAAAAAAAAAGGAATATAACAGATACCTCCAGAAAATCCTGAGGCTCATTCTTAAGGATTTGTCCAGGGGACCATATGGCTATCCACAGATTGGCAAAAGGAAGCGATACTTAAGTGCTTGTCCTCAGGAAGGAGGGAGAAAGTGGAAGGATGGGGCTTCCCTGACCTGCCCTTTCTTCCCCTCTCTTCCTGCCCCTCCTAGATGTGAAAAGATGAAGACCATGGAGGTGACTTCAGTATCCATACAGCTTGAAAAGAACTTCAGCAACTTCCCCCGACAGTACTTTGCCCTAAGGAAAATCCTTAAGCAGCTAATTGGTGAGTTGTTCCCAAAAGGAAAATAGCAAAGGGAATCGGCAGAGAGCAAAAAGTCTTTATCTGGGCTTCAGCTGCCCTATCTGTCACCCATCCCTTTACCTGGCTTTCGGTCACTCTGAGTCACAGAACTCGCAGAGAAAAGCTTGTGTCATCTAACCTTAGGCCCACACTTTTCTGAACAGGGGCCCAAAAAGGTAAAATAATTGGCCTAAAATTAGTCCACTCTAGAGAGTGAAGGGATTGTCATTCATTTTCACTCAGAGAATACAGTCATACAGTTTCCAAGAAAACGGATGTCAAGTCACCCTACCCCTAGACCCAATGATGGTGTCTTCTTGGTATCCTTCTTCACATACACTTTCCATTCTTTCTGGCCCTTGACTGTGCCTGGTGCTTCTCTGCACCGTGAGATGATGATGATGTCGGGGGCTGTGGATGGAGGGCCTAACCCACCGGCCCTGGCAAGGCAAGAGCGAGTTAGTCACCTGCGCCTTTTAGGGCCGGTGAAACGCGAAGCAGTGTCCTTCCCCTGCCTCAGGTGACACCAGGGATGGAGAAAGTTACCAAACCACAGTGTTCTGGGCCTTTAAGGGAGCAGGCTCTGTCAGGCAGGCTGGAAGACTGAGGCAGGGCGTTGAGCTATTCCCCGTCCTCATCTAGCTCCCCACTCTGGCTTCTCCCGCCAGCGGATGTGACCCTGGACCCGGAGACTGCTCATCCTAACCTGGTCCTGTCGGAAGATCGGAAGAGCGTCAAGTTTGTGGAGACCAGACTCCGGGACCTGCCTGACACGCCTCGGCGCTTCACTTTCTACCCCTGCGTCCTGGCCACGGAGGGCTTCACCTCGGGCCGGCACTACTGGGAGGTGGAGGTGGGCGACAAGACCCACTGGGCAGTGGGCGTGTGCCGGGACTCGGTGAGCCGCAAGGGCGAGCTGACCCCGCTGCCGGAGACTGGCTACTGGCGGGTGCGGCTGTGGAACGGAGACAAGTATGCAGCCACCACCACGCCTTTCACTCCTTTGCACATCAAGGTGAAACCCAAGCGGGTGGGCATATTCCTAGACTATGAGGCCGGCACACTGTCTTTTTACAACGTCACAGACCGCTCCCATATCTACACCTTCACTGACACTTTTACTGAGAAACTGTGGCCCCTCTTCTACCCGGGCATCCGGGCTGGAAGGAAGAACGCGGCACCGCTCACCATCAGGCCCCCGACAGACTGGGAGTGACGGGAAGGCCGGCACCCTGGGACGAGGCCGGATCCGGAGCTACGGGCCTGCCTTCCTGCGACCTGCGACCTGTGACCTGTGACCTGCGACCTGCGGGAGCGCGCGGCTGAGGCAGCGGGCGGAGCCCGGTCTAGAGTGGTTCTGTGGAAGCGTAGGCAGGCCTGGCCGGGTGAGAGCACGCTGTTGGGTGGGGCGTAGGCTCCCAAGGACTCAATCCCCTGAAGCCAGTCAGGCTTTCTGTTGCACAGGACGGGTCGGGAAGGGAGGAGGGGCTTTTCCGGAAGCAAAATGTCTGTGGGAGGGTGTGGCACTCAAACCAGAGGAGCGAACAAGCCCATGGGTCCTTGTTGGGCTCTTGAACGCAGAACAGCCAGGTTTCCTGAGGAAGAGCACGGGTGCGTGAGCCGCTGGCTGAATGGAAACGGAAGACAGCTGCTCTCGTGGGTCTGGGAGTTGAGGGCCCACGAGAGCAAAGATTTCTGTGGGCAGAGAGCGGGCATCGAGGTGAGGAAGGTCAGGGAGGGGGCAAAGGGACAGACCCCTAGACACTAATGACGGGGAGAGAGGTTTCTTTGGCCATCTGTTCCCAGAATGAGGTTGCCAGTGTGAGTTGGATTGGCCGGAGGAGCACTGTGGGGAGGAAAGGGTGAGGAGGACAAGAGGAGAGCCCAGGTCCTGTCAGCCTTCAGCAGAGCTGGCTATTGCCTGTCTCCTTAGAGTTGATCGTGTCCAAGAAGTTGGTCACCTTACTCTTCAGGGATGAGTTGCCAGAGATCCTGCAAGACAGCCTGTCCTTTTACTGCTTTCCCAAAGGAACGCGGAAAAGAGAGAGTCTGGTATTGGAGGAAAGAGAAAAGTATTTCTATCCAAAGCTTAAGGAATGTTACAAAATAGTTACTCCCAAGTTGTCAGCTTTCTTACCTGGGTAAAATGTCTAAGCCAGAAAGGGAGAGCGGTGTAGAGTCTTCTCGCCCTGAGGAAAGGGTAGAAGAGGGTGGAGTGTGCAGGGAAGGACAGAGAGGCAACTTCCATGTGCCTGCGTGCATCTGGCCTGGAACTAGTGTTCACAGGAGCCAGACTTTTGCTTGTTTGCTGCCATCCCTCACCGTTTGCCATTTCCCACATCAGAAAATGTAAGTCACTTAATGTTAGGCCAAAATAACCTGTAGGGTACATGTCAAAAAAGGCAGAGCGATGCATGCCAAACCAAAGGGACACGACTGAACCATCTGCTGCTCAGGTAATGGGGTTCACAGGTGGGACAAGCTGCAGGTTAGTGAGGGCATTTCAGTTCCTCTGACCACCTCCACAGGACTCTGTCCAGACTCTCCTCTTACCTTTGTGCCTTGACTGTGGTTCTTTGTGGCAAGACACTTTGGTGGGTAAACAATATGGAACAAAGGATCCACTGACGTGCTCTTTGTGCTGTATGCTGATTTGATGGCCGCCACTGCCAATGTGTCAGAATCTTTGGGTGTTGAAAATGGGTGTTCCTGGGCTCATCCCAAGTGACTGATCAGGTCTGTGGGCCTGGGCTTCTGCATTTTGGGCATCCTCCTTCCATCTGAGTCTGGGGACACTGGTAAAACTTGTGAAGATGTTTCAGCCACTTCCTGAGCTGGAGGCCTGGTTCCCAGCCTGAGGGGGTTTGAGAGGGGAGAGGCCTCACCCTCCCAGAACTTGGGCCGCCCTCTCCCTGTCTCGGAGTTCATCCATGTTCTTCCCCTCCATCCCTCTACTCTGACCTCAGGAATTGGTCGTTAACTATGAAGCAGAGGTGAAACGGGGGGCCAAACAGAACAAATGGGAGACAGGTCAGAAGAAGGGACTGCCTGTGGTGGGGTGGTTTCAGGGGCAGGAGATGCTGTTTCTCTGTGCTCCAGTACCTACGATTAGGAGTTAGTGTCTGTTTAGAACTAACAGACGCTAACTGTGTGTGTGGCTCCAAGGAAGAGTTGTGCTGAGGGCCAGAACCCTGTTCCTCCCCTCCACCACCCTCATGGTCCTTTCCAATTTCACTCCCACTGGCATCAGTGGTTTTTTAAGTGTATAACCTCTGCTCCTTCTATCTGTACATCTTCCAGGCACTCACCTTTGGCTTCAAAGAGTAGTGCAGAACGTCTATCTGGCTATAAATTGTACAGAACCATCCCCCCTACCTAGCTGCATAGAGAACCCTCTTCTGTTCCACCAGCCTCTCCAGTCTCTACCGAGCACTGCTAGTGACGGACTTGGAAGCCTGGACTAGGACTCATAAAGGGACCATGGCTTAGAATGCAATTCAAACAGATGGATCTGTGAGGCCACAGGGTGGTGCCTCGCGGACCTGGAACTACGTTTCCCAGGAGGCATTGCGCTGGCGCCGGGGCGGGCCTAGCTGAGGGGCGGGGCCTGCGGGCCAGAGCGCGCGTTCGCGAGGCCCGGATGGCGGGGCAGGTGAAGGACCGCGAGGCCTTCCAGCGGCTCAGCTTCCTGTATCAGGTGAGTCCGAGCGGGGGGCGCTCGGACGGGGCGCCCGGTGCCGCCGGCCCCGGGTGACCGCCTCTCCCCCAGGCCGCCCACTGCGTCCTCGCGCAGGACCCCGAGAACCAGGCGCTGGCGAGGTTCTACTGCCACACGGAGAGGACCGTGGCCCGGCGGCTCGTGCTGCGCCGGTGAGCGGGGCGGCTCGGCGGGCCGGGCCGGGCCGGGAGGGCCGCGAACCCCCTCCCTCCCTCCCTCCGTCCCTCTCTCCCCTCCGCCCGCAGGGACCCGTCGGTGAAGAGGACCCTCTGCCGTGGCTGCTCTTCCCTCCTCCTCCCGGGCCTGACCTGCACGCAGCGCCAGAGACGTGAGTGCGCCCGGAGGGGGAGCGGGGCGCCGCGGTGTCCGGCGCGGCCGGACTCCGCCGGCAGGAGGGGCGGCTGCGCGGACTGCGGAGGCCGGTCCTCGCCGTCGGGCTCAGGTGCTTGTGTCCCAGGGTGTGCCGAGTCCCGAGCCGGACTCACTGTCCGTGACGGCACAGTCTGGTGGGCAGACTGAGGAAGGAACCGCTCAAATAAGTGGAGCACAGCGCTGCTTAGCCTTTTTCACCTCTTGGCACACACAAACCGGCCACTAAAATTCTGCAGCACACCCAAAACTCTTCTCTGCTGACAAAAAGAAATAGGCACGACGCTGATTCCTTCGCAGCAGACCACTGTTGTGTGGGCTGTTTTTGCCCGAGGGTGTGTTCATTGACTGAGAGAGCGGTCGGGCGAGCCTCCCGCACCGCCAGTGAAGGTGCCTGGGACCCGCAGGTGCCCTGACCGGGAAGGGACCCGCAGCCTTTTTTGGTATCTGAGCCACCTTACTTGACAATCTGAGGGGAAAGAGGTCAGTGCACCTGACTAATCAGGTATTGCATTTTTTAAAAATTATTTTAGCTGGTGAAGGAAATGCTTTAGTTGGAGGAGTACAATGCTGTGCCTTATGCCAGTGGTGGTGAGATGCATAAGAAGAGGCAGTGGGAGATGGAAATTCTCAGCATGGGTGTTGACTCTGAGAGGAGAGCTTTTGGGGCACGTGCTGTCAATTAAAAGAGCACTCTGGTCAGTGGTTAGAGCATTAAAAGACTCATTCCGTCAAGGGCATGTACCGGGGTTGCAGGTTCGAGCCCCAGCCCCAGTTGAGGCGGTACAGGATACAGTCAATAAATGCGTCTTTTTCACATAGTAAATGCTCCCCTCCCCCTTCCACTCTCTAAAAATCAATGGAAAAAATATCCTTGGCTGAGGTTTAGCCAAAAACAAAAAAAAAACAAAAAAACACGCAAGAGTTTAGGAGGCTGGAGTTTAAAGTGCACAAGACATGATGCTGGAGAAGTAAATGGCAGATGTTTTAGAGACTTGTAAAGGTGTTTGGACTTTATCTTAAAGCACACCGAGGCCCTAGCCCATTCAGCTCAGTGGTTAGAGTGTCAGACCTGGGATTGGAGGGCTGCAGGTTCTACCCTGGCCCCTATCTGATCTCATGTGGGAGGCATCTCTCACATCAGTGCTTCTCTTTCTCTGTCTCTCCCCTTCCACTCGTTAAAAATCAATGGGAGAAAATATCCTCTGGTGAAAACTTAAAAAAAAATTACCAAGAAATTGATAGTTTAGCTCTGGGCAGTTTGACTCAGTGATTGACCCATCAGTCTATAGACTGAAGGGCCTCAGGTTCCATTCCCAGTCAAGGGCACATACCTTAGCTGCAGGTTTGATCCCTGGCCCCTGTCAGGGTGTATGCAGGGAGCAACTGGTCAATGTCTCTCTTTCCGCTTCCTCCTCCTCCCTCCCTTCCATGCTCTCTAAAGATCAATGGAAAAAATATCCTCGGGTGAAATTGATAGTTTATGCAGGGAACTGACACTATCAAATTTTCATTGAAAGTGGGACCAGGTGGATTCCTACTAGAAAACAATGGAGACAAACCTGGATATAAGAGCCCTTTTCTTCTGACCCAGACTCTTCATTTCCTGCTCTCACCCCAGGCTGCAGGGGACAGCGCTGGACGGTGCAGACCTGCCTGACGTGCCAACGCAGCCAGCGGTTCCTCAATGACCCTGCACACGTTCTCTGGGGAGACCTGCCTCAGGCCCAGCTGGGGGGCCAGCCAGGTGAGAAGTGGGCAGAAATGTGGACTATCCGATGGGGAGAGGGATGGATTGGGGACACACAGGTGAGTTCTGGCTTGGTGTGACAGGTGCCACAGTCTTGGAAAACTCTCCCATCTATCCAGATCTGAGACCACCGCAGCCCTTGCCAAGCACAGTCCACCCCACCCCACCCCACCCCGCTGAGGAGAAAGCGCAGCCCCAGAGCTCTAGACCCAGTGATGGAGTCACTGTCTTCCAGACAAATAAAGTTTAATTCTGTTTCACTTTGGTGAGTCGGTAACGTAGGTATTTCAGCTCTTACTTCATTTCCTCTGTCTGTATTTCTCTGTCGCCAGGTAAGAGCTCCTTTGTCTTTTCCGCCTTCCTACTCCCACCTTCCAGGCAGGCCCTATTTCCATAGCCCACAGCCCCCCTGAGCAGCTCGCACACCAGGCCCCCAGCTCCAGGGCCCCTTCGCACCTGGTTCCTGTGGTTCCTAATGCAGTGCCAGGACTGGGACTTGGACCCTAGGGTGGCCTGAGCCTCCTCAGGGCATTCCAGATTTAGGTGACCCTGACTTGTTGACAGATGGGCTGGACAAACCGCTGATGCCACGGGTGCTGTTTTTAAATAGGGAAAAGCTGTGGGGGAGGGGCTTCAGACCCTCGGCCCACGCCAGCATCGGTCTTTCCCATCTCTGGATTTTCTCCTTTAACATTCTAGTGAGGGCCGAAACCGGTTTGGCTCAGTGGTAGAGCATCGGTCTGCGGACTGAAGGGTCCCAGGTTCGATTCCGGTCAGGGGCATGTACGTTGGTTGTGGGCCCATCTCCAGTAGGGGATGTGCAAGAAGCAGCTGGTTGATGTTTCTCTCTCATCGACATTTCTAGCTCTCTATCTCTCCCCTTTCTCCCTCTAAAAAAACAATAAAATATATATTTTTTTAAACAAACAAAAAAAACCACATTCCACTGAGGGAAGTTGTACAACCAGAATGAACAAGGTCAAAGGTGATAATCACAAGGACACTGCAAACATACAGTATGCTCTGTAAGTAACCCTCAACATTTTCTTGAGAATTAGTAAACAACAAAATAGTTTTCTTCGGAACCCTAGAGAACTTGCTCAGGGACAGAATTTCATCCTGACCGCGGTGTTAGGTGCCAGTTAATCAGTCTGCCCCAAAAGTACATAAACAAAATTGCTCTTCCCACCATGCAGTTCTTCCCTTTCTCTCATCAGTCCTGTGCTACACTTACTGCTGCATTAAAATCAACAGCTTCATAAAAGCACATGGTGCTCTCCCTCCAGGGAGCGCGCCCTGCCAGTCCCTTCCCCTCTCCTTCCCTCTCAGGCAGGTAATCCCTCCCCCCAGCGGAGCAGTGGACATTTGTCCTGACTAATGCCCTGACCCTGTCCCTATGGCTCCCTTTTCTCTGCCTTCCCAGTGACCAGAGCAGCCCAGCCTACGCTCTCCTGTTGCTTTTGTGCCCTTCCTTGTTTCTTGTCCTAAGTAATTTTTGCTGCAAATTCTTGCTTTCTTTAAAAAAAAAAAAAAAAAAAATACTCCATCATGTTGTGACTTAAAACAACAGTCATTTATTGTTTCCTCTGCTTCGGTGGGCTAGGCTGTTAGAGGGCTGGCTGGATTGGATGGTTCTTTTTTTTTGGGGGGGGGGGGTGGTAGTGGTGTTTTTTGGTGGGGGGCGGGGGGTTAGGTTTTTTTTAATTCCGTGAAATGGGTGGCTCTTCTTTTCCAACTAGCACCGCCTGGAGTTACTCCACTGTATTTTGCTGGTGGCCGGTACCTGGCCTGGGAGATGAAGAAGCTTTGTTGTATATGAGTGGGACCTCTCATTGCTCCTTCAGGTGACCTTGCTAATGTCTGCACAGCGGGGCTGTCTCAGGTGCATGGGCTTTTCTCCGAGAAGACAAGCTCCAAATGCAAAGTGCTTGTCAAGCCTCTGTGCTCTCCGTGCTGGCTAATTCCTCCCCCTTGACCAGAGCAAGTCACATGGCCAAGCCCAGATCCAACACAGGCACGAAGGCAGGGAGCCCACTGTTCCCTGGGACCACGGATGCAGCAGCTTGCCGCGTCTGTTTTGCCTTTGTCCCTGACTCAGTCTCCATTTAAAATTACTCACGTGCAGATGCTGACCTCTGCATGGAGCTGAGTGCTCCGAGTTAGCCTTCCACAGCTGACGTCTGGTGCTGGAGCCGCCTCGGCCAACTGAAGCAGACATTAGACCCGGAGCTAGAGCAGCCCGAGCAGGCCTGGGCCCTTCCCGCCGTCAGCTGACCTTCCTCGGCTCCCCCGACCGCTCCCCTTTCCGAGTTCATTGGCTCACGCACCAAACTGACTCCTGGCAAAGGTTATCTTGAGTGTGATTATGGCTGCACGTGCCTTCGGTGGAATAGCAGTGGGGAGCTTTGAGTTCTGTTTTCGTGACTGAGCCATTAAGTGATTCCTCTTGTGGAAGAACATGGGAATCAGATCCCAGTCAGTGTGAGATGTGGTTCCTTATGCGCCTGGCTTGTTGGTCTGGTTTGTGTTTGTATCACTATGAGTTCCTGTAACTCCAGTGAGGTCTGTCCCTGCCAACGCATCTGGGGTGAGGTAATTAAATGTTTCACCAAATAGGCTAGTTTTTAAGGTGGTAACGTGTATGGTCCACAAATGGTGTTACAAATACCCAAATGGCTGCTGGCAGGAAAAAGTTCCCTAGGTCACAGCCTCCATCCAAAACTGTCCTTTTTCATGCTTGCTTTTTTTTTTTTTTTTTAATCTTTATTGTTCAGCTTATTAAAAATGTTCTTCTTTCCCTCCCCTCCCCCAGTTGCTCCCCTCCACCAGGTTCCCACCCCACCCTCTGCCCTTTCCCCATCCCCCATTGTCCTCATCCATAGGTGCACAGTTTTTGTTCAGGCTCTTCCTGCACACACACCCCCACTCGCCTTTTCCCCAAGAATCATCAGTGCACTCCCCTTCCATACCTCTGATTATATTATATTCACCAGTTAATATTGTTCATCAGGTTTTTTAATTCCCTTGGCTTTTAGTTTCACTTGTTGATAGTTACGTTTTTCTTGATCATAATTTTTATCTTTATTTTCTTCCTCTTCATAAAGAACCCCCTTCAGCAATTCATATAATTCTGGTTTGGTGGTGATGAACTCCTTTAGCTTTTTTTATTTGTGAACTCTTTATCTGGCCTTTGATTCTGAATGCTAGCTTTGCTGGGTAGAGTATTTTTGGCTGTAGGTTCTTGCTAGTCATCACCTTGAATATTTCTTGCCATTCCAGTCTGGCCTGCATGGCTTCTGTTGAGAAATCAGCTGACAATCGTATGGGTGCTCCTTTATACGCAACTACCTGCTTTTCTTTTGCTGCTTTTAATATTCTCCTTGTCTTTTGCTCTTGGAATTTTGATTATGATGTGTCTTGGTGTGGTCCTCTTTGGATTCCTTTTGTTTGGGGGTCTGTACGCTTCCTGGACTTATAAGTCTAATTCTTTCACCAGGTGGGGGAAGTTTTCTGTCACTATTCCTTCCAGTATTCTTTCGGTATCTTGCTCTCTCTCCCCTTCTGGGATTCTCATAATTCTGATGTTGGTTTGTTTGAAATTGTCCCAGAGGTTTCTTAGACTATCTTCAACTTTCTGGATTCTCTTATCTTCTTGCTTCTATGGAGGAGTGTCCTCTGGCTCTTTGTGTTCCAAATCTTTGACTTGATTCTTGCAATCTTCCATTCTGTTTTTAGGACTCTGTATAATATTTTTTATTTCAGACAATGTATTCTTTATTTCTAGTTGATCCCTTTTCATATCCTCATAGGTCTCATTTATTTAATGGCCTTTTCTAGGAAATTATTGAAAAACCTTATATCCGTGGTTTTGAACTCTATATCCAGTCGCTTTTTTTTTTTTAATCATTCTCCTTTTTTTTTTTTTTTAATATATTTTATTCATTTTGTACAGAGAGGAAGGGAGAGAGATAGAGAGTTAGAAACATCGATGAGAGCTGCCTCTTGCACACCCCCTACTGGGGATATGCCCACAACCAAGGTACATGCCCTTGACGAACCCGGGGCCCTTTAGTCCCCAAGCCGATGCTATCCATTGAGCCAAACCAGTTTTAGCTCCAGTCTCTTCTTGTCCTCCATTTCTTTTGTTTGTGATCTGTTTCCTTGTCTTGGCATTTTCACAGCTTTCCTGAGTTGGTAGGGTGGCTTTGTGTGCTAAGGTGTCCTATATGGTTCAGTGAGTCAGCCTCCCAGTTACCTGAGGTGGACAGTCTTGGTGTAGCCCTTTGTGGGCTGTGTGTGCAGTCTTGTTAAGCCTTGCTTGTTGTTGGTATCACTGGGAAGTGCTGATCTCCAAGCCAGTTGGCTCTGAGGATCAGAAGTGTCTCAGCTAGGAGGGTTTCTGTATTCCGCTTGAATGGGGCGGAGTCTCAGGGTGGCACAGCCAAGCTTTGGTGAATCCCGCAAGATTGATTACAGATGCATGCACCTCTCTGGTATAGGCGCAGACAAGCTTTGGATTCCTGTCTGCCCCTCCCTAGGAGAGTCCTATTCGGGGCAAACGAGAAAGCTAGCCACTGGAAGGGCTTCTGTGCTGCGCTTGGATGGGGCGGAGTCTCAGGTCATGTAGACAAGCTTTGGTCAGCCCCTCCCTACAAGGGTCTGGTTTCTGAGTCCCGCAGAATGGCCGTTGGCTTCACACACCTCCGAGAGATCCCGCCCACTGCCCGACAGTCTGGCCTCTCCCTGTCTGGGGCCGTCTATCAGAGCAATAGGGTGGTTCGAACAAGAAAGCAGAGAAAGCCAGCCGCACGTTAGCTGTCTGCCCTCTCTGCACGCAGGGAGTAAGCCATCAGGGAGCTCTGCCCACCCTCTCCGAGCTCTGCAAGCCAGCAGCGAAGTCGGGCGGCCGCCTTTTCGCGCGCACAGTTCTCCGCACCTTCACAGTTCCTGAGGTTCAGCGTGCCTTCTCTCTCCTTCCCAGAGGGTAGGAGCCAGCCATCCAGCGCTTCAGGGTGATGTTTCCCCTGTTTTCCAGTTCTAAATTCAAATTTGTTGTGGTAGGCTGTATTCAGGTGTCTACCCTATGCCACCATCTTGGTTTCTCATGCTTGCTTTTTATGACGTGCCAGTTATCAATATATGCAAAAAAAAGAAAAAGAAAAAAGATTTCCTTTAACAGGAAATCCCTGTTGTACACAAGTCAGCTTTCTTCAATGTTTCTAAACAGTTTAGTAATTCAAAATTTGAATCCTCTTGAGAGTCCTTAAATAACATTTAGAAGTGGACAAAAAAGAAAACCTAGATCTTTTCTAGAAAATGAGACCTCCCAAATGCCATAGAAATCAAGACTTAATCCCCAAGTCACAGGTAGGTACATTTAGCACTTTTAAAAAGTGGTAACAATGAGTATTATTATTATCAAGGGGAGAGCACAAGAGAGGAAAGGATTGAAAAACCATCCTTCTGAATTCAAAAGGGAATTGGAAACTTCCTTAGTCTTTCAACAAAGGGAATGATTCTGGTATTTTCTATATCACATAGTTACTGCAAATGAGAATATATGTGAAGACACCTTTAAAGGCTATTATAGGGCATTGTAATAAAGTACATAGGAATCAATACTTTGGAAGTGTGCAGGCTGATGGACTAACCACTGAGCCACTGGCCAGGGATGCACATGCCCTTGATAACAGTTCCCTCCCTTGTCTCACTCTCCACTCCCTCACCATAATTTCTGGAATAATCTTCCAGGTAAACTAAGTGCACCAAGTTGTCTCTGTTTGCTTTGAAGGAACCCAAAATGAGTGACATTTGAAAAAAGTAAGTGAGGGAACTACCATGTAGACATCTGGGGAGAACCAGAGCAGAGGGAACAGGAAGGACAAAGGTCTTGGAGTAGGAGCCTGCCCAGGGGGTCCCAGAGTCTGAAAGGCCAGTGTGTGGGTCAGGGAGAGTAGGCAGTGTGGCCAATCGTAAGGAAGTTGTTCACTGAGAGGCCGTTGGGAAATTTTAGCAAGGAAAGATGGCTTAACATTTTAAAAGAGTCACTCTTGCACTAGCTGGATTGGCTCAGTGGATAGAGTGTCAGCCTGCTGACTAAAGGGTCCTAGGTTCAATTACAATCAAGGACACATGCTTGGGTTGTGGTTTGATCCCCAGTGAGGAGTGTGCAGAAGGCAGCCAATCAGTGATTCTCTCCAATCATTGATGTTCCTTATCTCCCTCTCTGAAATAAAAATAAATAAAAGGGTTACTCTTTTAAGATATTTTTTTCAATTGCAGTTCACATTCAATATTATATTAGCTTCAAGTACAATGAGTGGCCAGACGTTCATATAATTTATGAAGTGACCCTCCCAATAAGTATAATACCCACCTTGCACCATACATAGTTATTACAGTGTTACTGAGTATATTCCCTGTGCTGTTCTGTACACACCTACGGCTATTCTGTAAATGCCAGCTTGTACTTTTTACTCCCCTTTTTCACCTCCTTCCATCTGGCAACCATCAGCTTGTTCTGTCTGTGAGTCTTTCTGTTTTCTTTGTTCGTTTACAGTCTAACCTCAGTTCTCCAATGTCTCCCATCTGAAACAATCCATGTTCGACCAAGTTGTTCACAGAAAAGTGTCTCAGGTGTTGAACAAAACTTCTGTTCTCCACCCAACAGCCCTTTCATGCTGACCGCTGCATGGTGAGGCATGCCTCTCTAGGGTGACAAAGGAGAGGATGCACAAGTGTGAGTCACTGCCGCTAAGCCTCATGCTGTTAACGTCTCAGGAAACTGCTCTGGGTGTTTCTGTGTTTTGCCTTTTTGCTGCTTATTATTAAGTATCGGACAGTAAGTCATCATGGGTCCTAAGAAAATCAGTGATAGCAAAGTGAAGCGGAAAGTTGTGAGAACAACGATAGAGCTTAAAAAAGAAATAATTGCAAATTATGACAAAGGTATTCGTGTGTCTGATCTGGCTACCAAGTATGGCATGACGAAATCGAAAATCAGCACAATTCTAAAACAAAGAGGCCATCAAGAAAGCTGATGTTGCTAAGGGTGTGACAGTGCTCACAAAACAATGATCACAGGCAACTGAAGAGGTAGAAAAGTTGTTGTTGATTTGGATAAATGAGAAATAGCGAGCCGGTGACAGCATTTCGGAGGCAATGATCTGCGAAAAAGCCAGGCTGCTGCATACTGACCTCCTGAGAGACGCCCCTGGAGTGAGTGCACAGGGGGTTTGTTCAAGGCTAGCAGGGGGTGGTTCGACAAATTTAAGAAAAGAAGTGGTATTCGTCATGTAGTGAGGCATGGGGAGTCTGACCGCTCTAACAAAGCAGCTGCTGATAATTTTGTGACAGAATTTCAAGAATTCGTCAAGGCTGAGGGATTTGTTCCCCAACAAGTGTTCAATTGTGATGAGACCGGCCTCTTCTGGAAGAAAATGCCAAAGAGGACCCACACCACACAGGAGAAGTCACCGCCAGGACACGGACCGCTGACGGACCGGCCGACGTGGCTGTTGTGTGGGAATGTGAGTGGGGACTGTGAATTGGAGCCTCTGCTTGTCTACCGTTCTGAAGACCTCGAGTTTTCAGGAAAAACAATGTCATGGAAAACAGGTGGAACGTGATGTGGAGGGCTAACAGCAAAGCTTGGGTGACCAGGCAGTTTTTTATTGAGTGGGTTCAGGAAGTGTTTGCCCCAAGTGTGAGGCAATACCTCCGGGAAAAACTGCTGCCACTAAGGGCACTGCTTGTCATGGACGAGGCTCCTGCCACCCTCCGGGCCTGGAGGCTGAGCTGTCGGAGGCGCACGGCTTCATCACGGCGAGGTTCTTGCCGCCTCCCATAACCCCACTCATCCAGCCCAGGGGCCAGCAGGTCACCGCTGACTTTAAGAAACTACACAAAGGCGCTGTTTCAGAGGTGTTTGGAGGTGACCTCTGAAACGCTTCTGACCCTCGGCGAGTTCTGGGAGGGACATTTTCACATCCTCGCTTGCTTGAGGCTCGTAGACGAAGCATGGGGGGCAGTGCGTTCCGGGACCCTGTGGGCGGCCTGGAAGAAGCTGTGGCCCAAGTCTGTCGCCCACAGAGCCTGTGAGGACGAGCCCGGGTCTGTGGTGGAGGACATTGTGTCTCTGGGCAGGTCCATGGGCTTGGAGGTGGATGGTGATGATGTGGAGGAGTTGGTGGAGGACCGCGGCACTGAGCTGACCACCGAGGAGCTCCAAGACCTTCAGAGGGAGGAGCAACAGCCGGCAGCTGAGGAGCGCTCTTCAGAGGGGAGGGAGGCTATTCCCACTTCACTGATCTAGGGGATGCTTGGGAAATGGGGAGAGATGCAGCGTCTCATTGGGAAATATCACCCTGACAAAGAGGTAGCAAACCGAGCAATAAATTTGTTCAATGACAGTGCCGTGTGGCACTTCCGGCAAGTGTTAAACCGCAGGCAAAAGCAACTTCTGGGTAGGTTCTTAGTGAGACAGAGGCCCAGCGAGCCTGAGGCACGTTCTAGTGGAGCAAAGAGACGAAAGAGGAAGAACCCCAGAATAGCCACCTGACGTTTTTATGGACGGAGCTCCCCTTCCAAACAAGAACACCATCCTCCACATGCAGTCCTCGGTCACTCTCAGCGTTAAGTTCTAGTGTCTGTAAATTTCCATTTTTACTGTACATTCCTTTTTGTTTCTTATTTACTTATAAATAGTACATTAGACGTGTACTGTATGTAAGGTCAAAACAAAATCATTTGGGGTTCTAGAATAGATTCAATTTACAGTTAAACTTCAGTTCTTGAACATCTCTCATCTCAAACAATTCAATTCTCAACCAAGTTGTTCATGAATAATGTCTCAGTTGTTGAACAAAATCTTCAGTTCTCAACCTGACAACCCTTTCCTGCTGATACATCATCATGACAAAAAGCTGGCCTGTAGCAGCCGGGCCCAGAGCAGCCGGGTCGGGTGCAGCCAGGCCTGGAGCAGCAGCAGCCACACCCGGAGAAGCCAAGTCGGGAGTGGCAGTGGCCAGACCCGGAGCAGCTGCTTGTGGAACAAACCAGAGCAACAGAGGCCAGGCCCGGAGCAGCCAGGCCTGAAACAGCTCGCTCCTCGCCTGCCTCTGCCCCAAGGCTGCCTCTCAGACATGGCTGGAAACTTTTGGGGGAACTTGAGGGTCTGCTGAATCAAGTGATGAAGGCTTAGATCTGGATGTGTTGAGTTAGTATAGCGCTGGGGTGTTGATCTGTGAGTGCCTTGTGTGGGGCCTGGATGAGGTTGGTTGACCTATTTGGAAAGGTCTTTTGTGTGAAGTGTATCCCTGGGCATGTGGAGGCATTATTGATTTAAGAAAATGCTAAGTAACTGATTTACTATCTGAAAAATTTAAAGTTCTGAAAGTTTAAGGTCTCTTGCCAAAAAGAGGTTTTAAAGCTAACACCTTAATTTTAATGGAGAAAGGGAATGACAAGCCCTTCCCACCCAGAACAGGTAATCCAATTCCAAAGAGCAGCTATGTTTAAACAATGTGTCCATTTACACTTGAATGGCTACACCTTTTGATAGCCTAAGGGCAAGTTTACATGTAAACAAGTTTGCTCTCAATTCCCAGGGCAGAAAAAAAACAAGGTTTAAAAATATTAGATTTTAAAATTTATTCTTAGAAGTGTAAAAGTTTATTAATTAAAAAAAAAAGGAGATTGAAAACCTGATGAACAATAATAGCTGTTCATTGTAGTAGAGTCGGCGATATGGGAGGGGAGTGGACTGACTGTTCTGGGGGGGGGAGGGGGGAGGGAAGGGAGGGAGGAAGAGACTGAACATAAACTGTGCACCTATGGATGAGGACAATTGGGGGTGGGGAGGGGGCGGAGGATGGGTTGGGAACCTGGCGGAAGGGGGAAGAAATGAGGAACCTTTGTAATAATATGAACAATAAAGATTGATTTTTTTTTTTAAAAATGACAAAAAGCTTTTTCAAGCCACAAACAAGGGGATGTGAATCAGTTGTCTATATCTCAAGAACTCATGCTGTGAGTATTAAGGGTTTTTTACTTTTGTTGCTGGCAAAATGGATAATTAGCACAATTTCAAAACATAAAGAGGCCATCAAGAGTGCTAACGTTGCTAATGGTGTGAAGAAAAATGGTCACAGACAACTGAAGAGCTAGGAAGACTGTTGTTGACAACAAGATGTGAACAACGGGAGATGCCACATGCTGAACTGAAAAACAAACACCCCGAACAAGTGCTGAGAGTGATTCATTTAACAGTATTCGGGGTGGTTCCATAATTTTAAGAAGTGTTTGTTTATAGACTAAACAATACATTAGACATGTTCTGTATATAAGAAAGGTTAAAATGGAAGCATTTTGGGGGAAGGGTCTGAGATGAATTAATTTACATAATTTACAATGCGGGGGGGGGGGATGATTCAGTTTTTCAAAAAAAATCGTTTCTCAGCCTTCCAGAACAAATTAAATTTGAGAACCAAAGTTGCAAAGTGGTTTTTTTAATATTTTATTTTTTATAGAGTGGAAGAGAGAGGGATAGAGAGTTAGAAACATCGATGAGAGAGAATCATCAATCAGCTTCCTCTTGTACATCCCCCGCTGGGAATGTGCCCGTAGCCAAGGTACATGCCCTTGACCGGAATCAAACCTGGGACCTTTCAGTCCGCAGGCCAACACTCTATCCACTGAGCCAAACTGGTATCTGCTATATTTTATTTTAGGTTCCACATATAAGTGAAGTCATATGACATTTGTCTTTCTCTGACTGGCTTATTTCACTCAGCAAAATACCCTCTTAGTCCTTCAATGTTGCTGCAAATTGTAAGATTTTGTTTTTTATGGCCACATAATATTTCTTTGTATATATGTACACATCTTTAAACAATTGTTCATTGATAGGCATTTGGGTTGCTTCCATATCCTGGCTAATGTAAATAAGCCTGCAGTGAACATAGGGGTGCATATATCTTTTCAAATTAGTGTTTTGAACTTCTTCAGATAAATACCCAGAAGTAGAATTGCTGGGCCATAGGTAGTTACTAATTTTTTGAGGAATCTTCATACTGTAACTGGAGCAATTTGCATTCCCCTCAACAGTGCATGAGGGTTCACTTTCTCCACATCCTTGCCAACACTTCGTTGATTTGATGCTAACCATTTTGACTGGTGTGAAGTGGTTTAATTTACATTTCCCTGATGATTAGTTAATCATCTTTTCATATGTCTATTGGCCATCTCTATCTCCTCTTTGGACATTTTTTTTTTTTGCATGTATCTGTCCCAGCACCTTTACCCCACTGTGTATTCTTGCTTTCCTTGTCATAGATTAATTGACCAGATAAACATGTGTTCTCTATACTGTTCCATTAATTTATGAATTTATGTGGCTATTTTCATGCCAGTACCATGCTTTTTTTTTTTTTTTTTTTTTTTAGTAGTATGGCCTTGTAGTATAGCTTGATATCAGGTAGTGTGATATCTCCAACTTTGGAAAATGCCATTAGTATTTTTGCGGGGGCAGCGCTATAATTTTTTACTTTTCAATTACATTCACCTTTTTCACTCATCCCCCTCAATCCCCTCCCATCCGGCAGCCAACAAAATGTTCTCCATATCTATGAATCCATTTCTGTTGTGTTTGTTTATTTTTTAGATTCAACTATTGATAGATCATACTTATTGCCATTTTATTATTCATATTTTTGCTTATTTTCCTTCCTAAGACTTTCTAACATTTCATGTAATATTGGTTTGGTGGTGATGAATTCCTTTAGCTTTTGTTTTGTCAGAGAAGTTCTTTATATATGCTTCAATTCTAAATTATATCTTTCCTGGGTAGAATAATCTTGATTGTAGGTCCTTGGTTTTCATCACTTTGAATATTTTTTTGCCCTTCTGGCCTTCAAAGTTTCTGTTGAGAAATCAGTCTTATGGGAGCTCCCTTGTAACTAACTAACTGTTTTTCTTTTGCTGCTTTTAAGATTATCTCTTTGTCTTTAACCTTTTGCATTTTAATTATAATGTATCTTGGTGCAGGCCCTTTGGATTTATCTTGTTTGAGATTCTCTGCTTTCTAGACTTGTATGTCTATTTCCTTCACCAGGTTAAGGAAGTTTTCTGTCGTTATTTCCACATGGATTTTCAATTCCTCACTTTCCACTTCTTCTGATACCCAAGGATGCAAATGTTAATATGCTTGAAGTCCCAGAGGCTCTTTATTCAAACTTTTTTTTTTTTTGGAGTGTTTTTTCTTTTTTGCTGTTTTCTTGCTTCCTTATCTTCCAGTCTCTTACTTGATCCTCTGCTTCGTCTGTTTTACGGTTGATTCCCTGCAATGTATTCTTCATTGTAGTTCATGTATTCTTCATTTCTTTTTTTAAAGTTAAACAACTTGGGTTTATTGTTTAGTGTAGTGTAGTGAGGGAAAACACATGACATAGGGAACTGTGGAGTATCACAATAGAGGGTGTTAGAAAATGCATATTATAAGATTTAGAGAGAAAAAAAGATTTAGACTTTGGTTGAGTGATTTGAAGATGGGTCTGTGGAAGTAGACTATTCGTTTCCTAGGCCTTTTGTAACAAGGTACTATAAACTGGCTAACCAAAACACAGAGAACTTATTCTTTCACATTTCTGGAGCTGGAAGTTGAAAAATCAAGGTGTCACCCCAGCCATGCTCCTTCTGACAGCTCTATGGAAAAAAGCTCCTGTTTCTTCCTGGCTTCTGGGGGTGCCAGAAAGCCTTTGTATTCTAGACTTGCAGGTGCATCATTTAATCCCTGCCTCCATCTTCACACAGACTTCTAGTTGTCATTCCTGACTGGTTCTCCTTTATGGTTTCCATGCCCTTTTTATGCAGTTGAAGTTCTAAGTTCATTGAGCATCCTTATAACCAATGTTTTAAACTCTGCATCTGGTAAATTGGTTGTCCCCATTTTGTTTAGCTCTTTTTCTGGAGTTTCAGGGAATTACAAGGGCAGGACTAATCATGTTAGCCAGGTTGATGGAGCTCACCTAACAGGTCTGTGGGAGGAGGACTCAAAAAAGGAACAATGGCCAAAACCGATTTGGCTCAGTGGATAGAGCGTTGGCCTGAGGACTGAGGGCTCCCAGGTTTGATTCCGGTCAAGGGCATGTACCTTGGTTGCGGGCATGTCCCCAGTTGGGGGTGCACAAGAGGCAGCTGGTCGATGATTCTCTCTCATCCACATTTCTAACTCTATCCCTCTCTCTTCCTCTCTGTAAAAAAATCAATAACATATATTAGAAAGAAAGAAAGAAGAAAGAAAGAAAGGAAGGAAGGAAGGAAGGAAGGAAGGAAGGAAGGAAGGAAGGAAGGAAGGAAGGAAAGGAGGGAGGGAGGGAGGGAGGGAGGGAGGGAGGGAGGGAGGGAGGGAGGGGGAGGGGAAGGGGAAGGGGAAGGGGAAGAGGGAGGGAGGGAGGGAGGGAGGGAGAGAGAGAAAGAAAGAAAGAAAGAAAAGGAACAATGGCCTCTTCTAGCACCTGTGTCTGGAAAGAAGCTGCCCCTTCAGCTCTCGCCCTGATGCCAAACACTTCAGTTCCTCCCCCTCTGTCCCTGATTGAACCGCATCCAGCAAGGCGAACCTGAGGAGGGGAGGAGTGGTGAAGGATTAAAACAGACAAGAGAATATAGTTTGGGTCAGGTGATCACTGCGCCTGGATGAGGACAAAGCCTGTAAGCAGAAGCTTTATTTTATAGTCAGATCATACAAAGCAAAACAAAGGAGTGGTCAAGATATTTCCAATGTTCTTGCAAGTTTCAAATCTGCTTCTTTCCTGTTGCAATTCTCTGAACTCTATCAAGCTTTGTTTTGGTAGCACTTGCTGTACCTCCTGCAGCCAACATCCCTCAGCT